GTTCATTTGTCGTTATTTGGATGAAAAAAGTATCCATTTTTCTTGAATACAAGTCGAGATATTTGCCAAAGAAGGAGGTGGGGGTCATCTGTTTTCAGGGGTAAAATTGACGAGAAAAAGGCCGCCAAAGATTAGTTATTTCCTTAGCTTAACAGTTCGTGGAAACTGAAATTATTATTTTTTGCCTTTAATCGACGTTTTTCAGAAAAATCCACACAGAAATGAGCTCTTTAATGGGCATGAAAGGTGTGGAGCCGAAAAACAAAACTTTTATAAAAATTCACAAACCTGCGGAAAAAGGCAAGTTTCTTCACTTTGATTATTTTGACGAGAGCCTGATTCCACCACACTGTCTCACATTTTATTGAAAAAGATCCAAACAAGTGAGATAAATGACAAGTGTACTATTCTTTCAAATCTTAGGGGGGTGAGGTTGCACCCCTGTGTGGGCATGTAGTGAGTCTATTTGTTAGCTCCAATCAACTGGATGGCCAATGATGACGATGATGAAGATGGTCATGATGACAACAATGAGATAATAATGAAAGTGATAACAACCACAATGATGATATAAAAGGACAGCCCCGTCACAGCCGCAGAGACTCACCTTAGTGATCCAATACAGAGTGAAGACTTGGGTGAGAACAGGGCTTGGTATCTTCCCATAGATGGAGCCATTTGAGTATAAGGCAAAGCTGAAGCCCAGCAACGTAACAGCACTGATCAGACAGCAGCCAAAGTTATAAACGATCAGCAACTGGGAGGGAAAAAAAAAATGCTATCACGAATTAAACAAATTCACAGGTTTCATGTCTTCATCCATCGTCATAGAGAAAGGAGGGAAGAGAAAACATTTTATTGAAATACATTGGATCATTTAAAGTATTGGAAGTTGTAAGATATATACTTTAAGAAGAAAATGCAAATGCTGTGCTGCTTCTGACTTTTTTTTTATCAAAGGTTACTTACTTTCTGACATTAAAAAAGTTATGGCTTTGGGTTTTTTCTGTGACCAATGTAAACAAGAAATTATATTATTCATCCATAAAAAAACACTCAAAAACATATAAAAAGCCATATCAGTATAAAATTTGTATTTATACGAACACAGATATAATGTCAAAATCAAACTACATACACACATATTGAATTCAGCTATTAAGACAAGTCACAATTCACAACATCTTACTGGTTTAAGACTGAGCGGAGAAGTCTTTTTCTGCCACAGACCAGAGAGAAATATAATCGTCAGATATCCAATAAAGATGGGTAGAGAAGGAAGTGCTGCCACCTTCAACAGAAAACTGTTCACATTGCTGCTAAGAATTGCCATTCCTGTGGATTGATCAAGTCATGTTGTGGTAAGTTCCAGACTTACTTCAGTTTTGTATTTGGGGGTTTGGAGAGGGGGGTTGAAGAGAATTAAGTCGGCTTTGTCAGACATAGGGTCCAGGTTTAAGCTTTAGAGCTAAAATGAGAACATTTAGTTTAGTTAGTTTTAGTTCTGAAGTACGGATGTGGTCAGGCTAGTCGCCTACCAGCCGTTCTTTGCTTTCATTGCTTGTTCCTTCCTGCTCGTTGTTTTCACACTCTTTATCTGTAGGTTGGTGCTCATAGATCTGGCAGTTTGAAACCAGTCTAGCTTCAAGGAGAATTTATGTGCCTTCTAGACCGTGTCAATCCTATTCTTGAAAGCATTCAAGGATGGTGCAGACACCACATTTTCCGGTAGGGAATTCCAAGCATTAACTGTGCGTACACTGAAGAAGTTTTGGCGGACTGCTGTTTTCACATGTTTTTTTCTCAATTTTAGGCTGTGTCCCCTAGTGTTAGAGTGTAGATCCCGCGCTAAAATGTCTCCCGTTACGTTGTAAATTCCTGTTAAACACTTGTAGCACTCAATCATGTTGCCTCTAGCTCTCCGATAATACAGCGACGGCAGATCCAATTTTCTGAGACGATCGCAGTAAGCAAGGTGCTGTAGTTCAGGAATTAGTTTGGTGGCCCGACGTTGCACTTTTTCAAGTTGTTCTTCATCACCTTTAAGTCTGGGGTGCCAGACCACATTTGCATACTCTAGATGAGGACGAATGATTGATTTGTACAGAGTAGAAAGGGACACTTTGTCCAGCATTGTGAAACCTCTCCGGATCAGTGCGAGAAGATTGTTGGCTTTGTTGACCTGGATACTGACATGTTTGCTGAATTTTAGATCACTATCAATATTCACACCTAGGTTTTTTTCTAGTGACACAGATTCTAGAGTGATGCATTCACCTTTGGATGTCATCTTGTACTCACAGGGGTTTTTATTTTTTCCAATGAGCATAACCTTACACTTTTCTGCATTAAACCTCAATTGCCACGTATCAGACCAGAGCTGGAGTCTGTTCAAGTCATCCTGGGGGTTGTCCGAATAGTCAGGTACTTCAGCAAAAATCTTCATATCATCCGCGAACAAAAAAGTAGCAGAGAGGATATTTTCAGGGAGGTCATTGACGAAGCATACAAAGAGAAACGGACCTAGCACACTTCCCTGAGGGATTCCCGACTGCACATGCTCCCAGGATGACTCCTCTCTCGTTACAACCACACACTGTTGCCTGTCAGTCAAGAAGTCCTTTATCCAAGCCTGAATCTGCCCCTCAATTTCATAACCTTCCAGTTTTGTCTACAAACGTTCGTGTGGGACGGTATCGAAGGCCTTAGCAAAGTCTAGAATCTTGAATCAACCTTAATTTAATTTTATTAAGCATTGTATTATATTTCCATGCTACTGGGAGTACTATTGAAATATTATTTGTGCAGTTATAGTCGGATGATAGGCTATACTGCTATACGATTGCATGACAAGCATGGGCAACAGCTGCAAGTAATCAGAACAAGAAGCCACTGTAAGTAGTCACAAAAGATCATGAGATGCACCCTATACCAAAGGTAAATAAGATTAGCCAGTATCAATATAAATAATAAATCAAACCCTAATGGGATGCTATTCAGTTCATTTTAAAAGTGCTTAGAATTTAAACCCGAAGTGGTGGGTGGTCGGCGGGTGCTCTGGTGTGGTTTGCTTCTTCTTTCCTATCACATCCATCATCCTCATCTTCCCTTCTTCTTTTGGGAGGACTTTCGTAACGAGCGACAACTATGAGACAGAGCAGAATTTAGGGCTTGGGGTAGGGTTAGGGTTAGGGTTAGGGGTAGGGGTAGGGTTAGGTCTAGGGCTCTTCTTTATAATTGTGTTTGATGGGGTGGTCGCTCGTTACGGAAGTCCTTCCCTTCTTTTTTTATGTTTCTTACTCTCTTGTAACACGTCTAATCTTCTGGCGCTCATATGACCTTATGCAGTTGCGAGCCCCATAAAACCTCTACTAAAACTAAGCCGGCCACTGTGAGCGGCCACTTCGGGTTTACTTACTTAGTCTAAGAAAACCCGAAGTGGCCGCTCACAGTGGCCGGCTGTGCACACAATTAAGTTTCTTGTCTGAAAACTGTTCATCAGGCTAATTTCTCAGATCAAGATTCAGCTTGTTTGGAATAGCCCAACTTCACAAGTTTTAGCTTGAATAAGTGAGAAATTTTGCCTTCAGATCATACCCATCACTTACCGGCACAGGGCAATCACAAAGGCGATGACCAGATTGTTGACAATGGAAATTGGAAAATGAAAGTAGAAAGTCGACTTGGTTTGGAATCAATGAAACATGCAAGTGAGAGCAGGATAAACACTATCTTCTCCGGGTCTTCCAGAATGCGAATCTAGTCTCGTCCTACCCTCTTTATAAAGGAATTCTCATTAAATATTCTGTTGAATCACTTCACATTATTGGTAACCCTATGAAAGTCCTTTTTTGCGAACTTTTGAAAGCCTTTTGTCGATCAGGTCAAAAACTTGAACTTTGAATTTGCTTGCTTGTTTGATGATCGATGAACCAAGCCACGTCGCCTGCGCATGTGTGACCCTTAACTCCGGAATTTCCGGAAGACACGACAACAAATCTGCACTGCATCGCTACGACCGGTTGTCCAAATGGATTACTTTAGAAATATGCTGGGGGGCCCTCAAGGCGAGGGCCAAACCCCCAGTGGAGCTGAAACGGTGTGCCAATTATTCTTTTTCCTAACAGTAAAGCTGCTATCATATATATCTAGGTTTTTGGTGAAGTAAGCTCAATTGCAAAGTCAGCTGTGCCTCGACACTCTTCACCTCACATCTACTGCTATCCTACCCTATAGGCTAGTCTATACTATAGCCTATAGCATAGCTAGGCTAAAGCTAGGCCTACTCACTCACGGTGTTGTGTGGTACTTTGTGGTAATGTGGTCCTGTTTTCTACTGTGTAGCGGTCAATTACTGACTACTGTAAGACTGGGGAATGAATGGTTGGTAATGCCTTGACAGATGTGTTTTATGGTGTTACAATATTGCGCAAAATCACTGAAAATGAGTCTCACGATAGTCTTGAAAGCAGGTCTGGCAAATAAAATTCTGCAGTGTGCAACTATCGGTGATCTTATACTTTAACACGTTAAATTCCCAAAGTCTACTAGTCCCCGGCTCAGACCTTCAAAACTTTGGACTGGGCCTAAAAATGCGCAAGGCCACCTCTATTCTCACCCGGAGTGAGAATAGTGCAGGCGAGTCTTGTGGCTATTCTCACCCGGTGCGCGTTCACCAAATTTTGCGTTCACCCTAAACCACAGAATTCGACACTGTGATAACAGAAAAATTGTAGAATTCTGTGCCGTGAACAAACGTTCCATTACAACTGTAGCCTACTAAAAGCGTACAATTTTGTCTGTGGGCAGTGGAGAGAGAGAGAGAGAAAGAGAGAGAGGAGTAGCGCAAGAATTTCCGGGCAAAACAAAATGGCGACCCGCGTAGTTCGGCTCGATTCGAAAAGTTAAATAGTCGTAGCATCTTTGTAGACAACCAAATTAATTTACTTTTGTGTTTTAACATCATTTTTTAACGGAAGAGGCTAGCCATACTTAATGACGGCTAGACTGGCAGTCTAGCCGTACTTATTCTTAATATGATGGCTAGACTGACCATTTAACAAAAAATAGGCCTACTGAATTGTAAATATACTTTTTTAGTGTGCAGTACCTAAAGTATTTGTATTTGAGACGAAACCAGGTGCCTAAATGACAGTGCATGTATTTTAAACCTCCTGTTTTCTAATGTTAATAGGGCCTAAGATAAGTACGGCTAGACTGGCAGGCTAGCCGTACTTAATATTGATGGCTAAATTGTAAATGAAATTTTTAGTTTGCAATGCCTAAAGTATTTGTATTTCAGACAAAACAAAAAGGTGCCTTACTGACTTGCATGTATTTGAACCTGAATAATTACTAGATCTAGATCTAATGAGACCTGTGTACTTAACAGGCTTGAGTCGATAGGGCCAAACCTAGATCTAAGTACGGCTAGACTTGCAGTCTAGCCATTTCTTTTTTTAACTTTGTTTTGGTCAATTTGATCGTCCACACCGATAGACAGTATTCAGAAAGAGACAGAAAGAGAGAGAAGAGGGGAGGAGTTGATCTTGCGAGAACTTCCGGGCGGGTGAGAATAGCCACTTTCAATGCGCAAACTACCGTAATTTTGTCATGAACAGATGGTATTACGGTGGTTTTCGGTCTTCCATCATGATTTTGGAAGCCATTTGAGTATTTATAACCTAGATCTAGATCTAGATCTAGATTAGATAGATTCTAGATCTAGACCTAGATATCTAGATCTTGTTTTAAAGTGGTTGCTCGTTACGGAAAAAGGAATAAAATCAATTGAAGAATTTAATGTGCTAAAGTATAATATAAGATCACCCAACTAGATCTAGATCTATCTTCCAGATCATGACAAATCTGCATTTTTTAAAACTCACATTTGCTGGATTCTGATAATAGGGGAAGATTATGGAAGGGTTTGGGTAACCTTAACCCAAACTGTAACCTTACTATTATAATCTGAATAATAATAGGCTTCTAATAGCGTTTGTTTTGCGCTTTCACTCAAACAACAATCTCTGTGCTGGACAATTTCAGTGACGGTGGGTAGTGAAGGGCTCCCGGGCTTAAGCCCCTCCATCCTCTCCACCCACCACCCCCGGCTACCCCAACTCTATCTGTCCCAAAGTAAACGAAAGTTTCTCCATAATGAAACAAGCAGTTGAAACCATTTTATGACCGTTTGCAGTGAACACAGAGTGATCAACTTGGCAGCTTGTTCGTTTGTCCAATCACTGGTCACCTCTTACAACTGTAGTAACCCAGCAGTCGACCAAATGTCTTTAGGGCTCAGCAAAGGATGAGCCCTTTCTCACGCCCGTCCTTTTAAAATGAAACTCTTTTTGTAAAAAAGGTAAAAAGAAGACTTGAAAAAAGAACACTGTACTGAGGGCTCACGCTCTCCCAGCCCTGACAATGGGGTAAAATTTTGCCACACACTTTCCCCCAGTGACACAGCCTATATGCGCTCATTGGTTTTCTGTTGGGTCATTCAACTTTCTCAACTACATGGCCTAATCCAGCTCATGATGGAAGCAATATGTTTGAAGTGCTGTGTGTGCATGTTTGTGTTTGTGCTGCTGAGATTTAACTGTTATAAACCAGGTCGAACTACTTTAAAGGCTACTTTTTCATCACTTGAAAATTAATTAGAAGGAATTTGGAGGTGAATCGGCTTCGTCCCCGCCATCAACAAGAATTTAACTCTAAGAGTAAAGAGATGGAAAACAAAGGTGACTCTTCTCGTATGAATGGTTCTCAAAATGCCGTGGCTCACCGTGAGAATAGAAAAATCATCACTGTTTAGTTCTTATTGCTTGCTATTTGGTGGTAAAGAACTGGAAGTTACCTAAGCCCCACCCAAATTTTGGTCCACCCACCGCCACTGTACAATTTATTAGCAATGCCCACCGAGCGCGTTTTGTTCTACCGATTTTTGGCCCCCGCAGCGGTGGTGTTTCGTGGGACGCACTAACGCAAAGGTTGTTGTCTTCAACTCGTTCTCACGCCGCTTCTCGTGAATGGATATGAATGAAACTTGGCAGCCAATCAGAAAAGAGGTCAATCTCGTAGTATGCAGTTTGACAACATTGTACCCATCCTAGGAGCAGTCGAAAACGTTTGCGAAAGTGGTTGTGGTGCGCTTTGAAGATTTTTCGGATCTGTGATTTGTCAAACTGATTGATACGTTTTTCTTTATTCCCTTAAAATTTCAAGCTTCTGTGTTTAGCGGTTTTCGTGTAATCTTTAAAAATGTGAGAGTAACTAAGAGAAAAAGCGGCATTGCCATTTACGCATGCTGGGTGTACGACCGGCGGCTGGGAAATTTCCACTGAGTGATGTCATCAGCCATCGGTCGCCTCGGGCGCTGGAAACGAGGCCCCGCTTATGTGAAATGGAAAGGGGGGGAAGGATACTTGAAAACTAAACGGGGGCCCTGATAACTTGCGTTTTTGTTGCATTTTAGTCATAATACAATAGATGTATTATTTTTATTTGCTTGATTGCATGACAGAAGAATAGAAACAGAAAAGCAAACATCTTGAGAAGTGGTGTATGGCATTGTGTTTGCGTTATGAAAACCTATTCCCCCCTCTTGTGAAAGCACACACTTGGACTCGTCCCGTGTGCTCTTTTTGGAAAAGTGAGGCATTGAGATTGTTATTAAAGAGTATGGTACTTATTTAGTCCAGTCTGGGAAGATAGTCCCCGTTTATACATTGTTATCGTCCACGCGTGCATGCGTGAGTGCGCGCGTGTGCATGTGTGTGTGTGCGTGCGTGCATGTGTGTGTGTGCGTGCGTGCGTGCGTGCGCGTGCATGTGTGTGTGCGCGCGTGAGAGAGAGGGAGAGAGAGAGAGAGTGTGTGTGTGTGTGTGTGTGTGTGAGAGAGAGAGAGAGAGAGAGAGAGAGAGACCTTTATATAATGTTGAATTATTGTTTGAATTTTCTGAGAACCTAAGTTTTATATTTTATATAGGCCTATATACGTGAGGCGGCGAGGTGAAATCAGGCGCTCGTCAAAATAATAGAAGTCAAGAAACTGGCATCTTTCCGCAGGTTTGGGAATTTTTATTGCATTTTTTGTTTTTTGGCTCAACATCTTTCCTGCCCATTACAGGAAATGACTCAACTTTCGTCGCCATTTTCTCGCTGATTTTACACATGAAACCAGGC